TCAACAATTGTTAAGTCTGGGGTGTTGTTATTAATAATAATATACTTATATAATATAATTGTATAATAATAATAATAATAATAATAATAATAATAATACCACCATGTTGATTCTAAAAGCTCCTAATAGCTCGAGGAGAACTAATAGGAGATAAGTTACAAAAGGGATGGCCAGTAGTTCTGAATACCACTTCTTGTGGAATGCACTGTTTTGCTCCTGTAATACTGGTGGGATTCCTCTAGGCATTGTTACATTTGGATCTGAAACCAAATGTAAAGAATCAGCATTGTCCCAACATAGCCTGAGAGGTAAACATTCTCCAATACTTTGAAAGAATATGGGAGCAAATATTGTGAATCTCACATTATTTGCCTAGTCATTAAAAATAACAGGTACTCAGCTACTCCTCAGAATATTAATTGTTGATAAGGTCCATGTCATCCATCAAGCCCTGACACATTTCAGAAGGATCAAAGGAATGAATGGTGTATGTCAAGCTTCCAAGCAGTTTGTCCAAATATTCAAGCTGTACAGACTGAAAAATACTTCTGATAGTATGTCTAGACTGTATGTACTGATGTATATCAATTTGATCACAGTAGCCAAGAAATTAAAAGTGTTTAGAGAAAAGTTGGTACTCTACAAAGCAGGTGCTGGTAATATTCACAGCTCTCTCAGCATGTTTCAGTACTCAAGTCTCTTAGTCCTTGAGCTTTCTCTGGCTGCTGATAGTCTTGGAGATAAATAGTTTTGGAGATCTGTCTGTCTGTCTGTCTGTCTATCTTCTGGACTATCATTCCCTTTTGCTTTTGGATCTCCTAAATAAGTTTATATATTGATTCTGGGAGAAAGGTTTAAAGCTCAGAAGCATCACCCATCAAGGATTTGCTGAGAAATCTCTCAGTTCAATTACAGTGATTTCCTAATAATTTTAATAATTTTTAATTTTTAATTATTTAATTAATAATCTTTCCTAATAATTACTGAACTTACCTCTTTCACCAGTTTCCACTGAACCAGTTTTTCCTCCATTAGTTAGATACTACTTTTACCTTACAAGATAAGTTACATCTCTTCGGTTTTTAACTCCATTCACATATGGTAAAAAAAAAAAGTTTCATTTGTAATGCATTTTTTCACACACCAATTTCATCTTTTACACGCCAACTGAAAAGATTGAAAGTGCTCTGCAAAACATTTTATTCTTGGATATAATCACAGTTCCTGTAGTGTTAGATTGCTATTAATGGTGTTTGTTTATTCTAACAGTTGCTGAAATAGTAAAAGAACTGGAAAATATTGAAAAGATTCAAGCACAACTTGATTCCAGTAAGCCCAAAGAAGATGTAAGTTAATAACCTTTAATTTAAGTCCTAGTAAAGATAAAATTAATTACTTTATTCCATCTGTTAGAAAACCATGGTGGGCTTTTTTGCATAACGGTGCTAAATTAGTAGATACATGTGGGTAGATATGTGTGGATAATCTTGATGCCAAATCTGACCAAGCTCTTCAGCATGTGATAGTAATAGTTTTGTGAACAGAAGTATGTCCTGTTGAGCTCAGGCTTGAGTGAAGATTGCATTTGGGGTCTCTTTTATCAAGCTGAAGATGTGTGCCTTCTGAACAAGAACCATGTCACTTCTGATGTGCCTATGCTGCAGTCAGTAGATAGATACTTATTAGTGAAGACACATGTCCCTTTTGCTTGAGATACAGTGACTGTGCCTGTGTTTTCTGTTCATATGCTTGCTGAATCATCCCCCCACCAAAAGTTGACTTTTGAAATGTCACTGCAAAGGCTTAGTAAATGTGCATTGTATGCCCATCCTTAAAGTTTATCTTGGTGGGAAATAATGTCAAAAGCCATCCAATATTGAACTGCGTGCTAGAAAAACTGCTGCCATCTATTTAATTGCTACTACCAAATTAAAAGTCTGAGTTTCTTTGTTTTTCATTTAAAGCATTAAATGAAATGTTCTGCCCATTTACCACAGAGTTTAGATTGTGCAAAATAATAAAACCATTTGTCTAAAACATAAAACACAAAACAGCAGGAAATAAAATAGCAAAGAAACATATATATGTTTTCACCAAGTACCAAACTGCTGATGATTTCATTGATCTGCTGATGGAGATACCAGTTGCAGTCTGAAAAAAATCCATATTACATGGCAAGGGAGTTTAGAAACTTAACAAACAAACAAACAAATGCTAATGATATATATATAGAGAGAGACATATCAATCTTTTATAGCCGAAATGGGTAACTTAGTCCCCTCTAAACTCGCTGCCTAATTTGATTTTATAAAATATGATGATGATAAAGATAATGAAGATGAATCTAGCATAATGCAAAGTGAAACACCACCAATTTGCATTTTGCTTGGACCTCACATCAGGATGGTAGAATAACTGGAGGATTAAGTTCACTTTTTGTAAATAGGTATTTTGTGACTGGTCTGACCCCACCATCCCCACCTCTCCATGGCAGATATTTTCTGAATAAGCAAGTTTTGAACTTTGTGAGCCCCTTTGTGAGTGCACTTAAAAACATGCACTCAACTTTCCAAATGTGCCCCTGGCCAAAATGATTCACTACTGCTGTCTTGTAGGTAGCTATATATAGTCTATAGCTATTGGGGCACAGTGCATCCCTAGCAGGTCAGTTTCCACTTCCCCTCTTGCAATCCCTTTTATACTCTTTAAATCTGCAGTACTGTATTAGGAATTTGCATATTGATCCTGTGTCAAGAACCATGACTTTTGCACAATCTATGACCCACTGAAAATTTTTTGGTGAGATAATGTTATCAGAGAAGATGGAGCATGATTTTTCAGCTCTTTTTAATATAATTTGGGGGACTTAAATGTCGAAACGAGACTGCTGTAGCTGTCAGAGATCTTGTATTCCTATGTATCCTTTTTAAGGAAAAAAGTGTGGTCATTTTGCCACTGAATTTTGGCCGCTGATCTCAAGATGCTTCAAAAGCCTTGAATAGGGTGTTTTATTGGCTGCATCTGCTGTTACTGCTTTAGAAAGAAAAGGGAAAATCCTGTGGAACCCACCAACTAGACTTTGTTCACATTCAACACTCAACTGCGGTGAAACCTATAGTGGAAGGATCAGGTCATTTTCACTAGCATAGATTGTTTTTCTCCTTCTGAAATAATAGTCAGAAGATTCTGTAAAAAGTTTTCCTCACAGGCATAAATACACATTTCAGTGTATGGTTTTCCTGTTCCAAAGGCATCTCAAATCACTTTGAGATTATGTAGCAGAAGGCTTTGGGGCTTTTCTCATAATAATAACAGGGTATGTGTTACCAACTTTCCATGAATTTTTTTTTAAAAAAGACCTATCCTTAAATAAGCCTCTAAAAATTAAATGGAACCAGACGGTTGGGAAAGAAAGAATGCTAAAAGCAATGTTGATGGGCAGGAGAGAAAGGCTAGAGAGAGGAAAAGAAAAGTATTTTTGGATTCAAGATAATTATGTCTTAAAATCTTTCGGCTGCAGCTTTAGATCTTTCATCTATTAGTCATTTAAAAATAATGTTTGTGCTACTGTTACAGGGCATGACATTTACAAAGCACCAGACAGAGAATGAAATAGATGAAATTCATAGAGATTATCGTAAGTAACAAAATTATTTCATTTGCATTTAAAAAGAAACTCATATGGTCTTAGGAAATGTACATATTAAAAATGAACTTGTATTAAAATACAAACCTTCCTTTTTTCTCCATATTATTTTTTTTAATGCAAGATTTCAGGTAAACTGCCATTGGGAATCAAAATTCTCATGTCTTCCCTTCTGTTTGTGGTCTCTGGCAAATTTCAGGAGGCAAAGACGTTTATCTATCTTTGATTGCCAAGTATGTGAATGGGATGACATTTTTACCTTGGAATTTCTTTCTTAATAGGCTTACAACCTGTATGGCTAGCTTGCAGATCTGGTTTAGAAGTCAAGCACATAGTTTGTTTGGATCTATTTCATGACTATGGTATAGGAGAAATAACTTAATAGATTTGGGGTATATGGAAAAAGGGGGTCTGTGTGGCCTTAATCATAGAATACAAAATCATTGATTTACTTTGTATCTGAAGAGAACCAGTGTCTTAAATATTAACCAACAAGTGCATAGTTCAGTTATAAGTTTATGAAATAATTGAATTTGCACATCAAAATGCATTAATGCATACATGGTTACAGGTAATCCTCATTTAGCGACTGCATCATTTAGCAACCATTTGCAGTTACGACAGTGATCAAAAAGTAACTTTGCAACCAATCCTCACATTAAGGTCTGTAAAGCAAAGGAAAGCTGAAGTAAGATCATAAGCAGAGTCATGGTTTCACTTAGTGACCACTTCACTTAATAACCAAGTTGCGGGTCCCAATTATACAAGGACCACCTGTATAATCAAACTTAGAATTGAAACATTTTCAGCTGCTATCTGACTGGGCTGATATAAAATTCCACTGTACCCATTTCCTGTAATTAAAAATTCATGTAGGAGAGTAGCCCAATATTTGACCTACTATCAAAGCTTGCTTTACAGTATCCAGTCAACATATATTTTATTGAGCTCTTAGGTTTTGTCAGTACTTTTGATTTTAAATTTGTAAAATTAGTACTGTGATATCTGCTTCTATGTATAACATGAGGAAGCCAGGTTTCGAAAAAGTACATATAAAGTGGATCTTGGAATTGTACTGACAATCTGAACATGAGTCAGCAGTGTGACATGTCTGTATATAAGCCGTTTTAGATGCATCAATAAAGTATTGTTTTAAAATCACAGGAAATAATAGTTTTATTCTATTTTGCATTTGTTAGACCTAACCTCAAGTCTTGTGTCCAGTTCTGGGCACCACACTTTAACAATGATTCATCAGGCAAACTGGAATGAGTTCATAGAAGAGCAATGAGTAGGGGTGTGCAAAATGTTTTCATTTCAAATATTTTGAGCACCAAATGTCATAAAACATCCTTCTCTGAGTCAAAAGCTGTCCTTTGAGAACAAAATAGGCTGCCTCAAGCATTTGGAAGCTTTTTGAGCTTGTGACAAAGTTCTGAACTGGGGGTGCCTCTGTTTTGAGCTCAAAAGCTTCCCCAAAATGCCTGGAATTACCCATTTTGCACTCAGAACAGCCTGTTTTGCACTTAAGAGAGGATGCTTCATGAAATTCCAAGGTTGAAACAGTTCAAAGCAAGCATTTTATACATCCCTAGTGAAGTGGATGATTGAGGATTAAACATTAAGTTGTATGAAGGAAGTGGGTGTGTTTAACACTGAGAAGTCTGAGGAGAGAAAGGATAGCACTGAAAAAATATCACACAGAAGAAGCTCAAGGTCAATTCTCTATTATTTCAAACGGATGGATCTGGAATAAAGGGTTTATGTTACAAGAAGATAAATTCCACTTGAATGTTAGGAAAAGTTTCCTGCCAAAAAGAATAGTTTGGCAGTGGAACCAATTACCCAGAGGTGTGGCAGGCTCCGCTATCTCTGAAGTTTTTAATTTAGTTGTATTGCATTAATAAAACTCTAAAACAATGAGAAAACAATCCAAAATGCAAAAAAAAAAAAAAATGAGGAAGAGGAAGGAGGAGGAGGAGGTAAAAGTGCACTCCAAAATTACACTTCCAACTGCTGGTGCATTGTACTAAAAGGGTGCAGATTGGTACATTAAGCATCCCAGAAGCTTGTCTATCTTACATCACCAGACATCATCCCAGACTTAAAAAAAAAAAGAGGGAAAACTTGACTTCACAGAGTTATCAGACATATTTCAGAGGCTATA